ATCTATTAATTTGAAACTTAGAAAGATGATACAATAAGACTAATTGTGAATTTTAAATTAAAAATTTAATAAGGTAAAATTTGAATTTCAAATAATTTACTTAGTCTAAAAGAGTTTTTGTTATATAAATTTCAAATTAGATTTAAAATAAGATTTTTCAATTTTGTTTATGTTGCAAATAAAGTCATAATTTTAATTTGAATTTATCTAAATTTTAATATTTGTCTAACAATGAAAAATAAATAAATAATCACCATTCTAATTTAAAGAATAAAATATTAAAATCTTCAAATAAAATCACAATTCAAAAATTTTTTTTTTTTTGAATAACAAAGATTAATATTTTATCAAAATTAAGGAGTACAAGGGTATTCCAAACCCATTACACATGCAGCTATATACTTCTTTCAATCAAACCAAAAATCAAACCAGAAATGAAAGGTCACAGTTTGAAATTAAAATTTAAAAAAGAGAATATTTAAATCAACTCTATGGTTGTTAAATTATTTGTGTTCAGGGGTACACTTCGTGATGGATTTGTTGGGGTGAATATCAGGAAAATGTTTTGTGGACTGAATTTTATTGGTTTGTTGGAGAGATGCATGATTATTAATATATTTTTTGGTTCACCGTATGCTTTTAATTTATATTTTAAAATAATAATTTTTTAATAAATATGTAAACAAATATGTTTAACTAAAAATTATAACAATCATTTTCTATTAATGAATGAATGCATTTTTCTTTGCCAAAGATTAATATTTTATTAAAATAAAAAAGTACAAAAAATACTCAAACCCGTTATACATACAGCTATATATTTCTTTCAATCAAACCAAAAATTAAAGCAGAAATGAAAGATCACAATTTGAAATTAAAATTTAAAAGAGAGAATATCTAAATCAACTCTATGGTTGTTAAATGATTTGTGTTCAGTCCACTTCGTGATGGATTCGCTGGTTTGAATATCCGGAAAATGTTTTGTGGACTGCATTTTATTGGTTTGTTGGAGAGTCAATTATTGATATATTTTTTAGTTCAGCA